AAGTATCGGTTCAGGCACCGTTTAGGCACCGGAACAGTTTTAAAAGTATCGATTTGGCACCGGTATCGAAAAAAAAAAAAACGATTCCCAACCCTACCCGTAATGGCAGTACTGCTCGGTACCCTCGCCGTATCGGCTCAAATGCATGATCATTTGCACTTATTATGGCCTCAACAGTCCTTTCAAGTTCGTCTTCCTCCATTTAAACAAGCGTGTGTTCAAAAAGTTAAAAAATGCTTATTACTTTACTGGCCAACGGAGCGAACCAACCCCGTGACATCACACAAGATGGCGGCGCCCTTGCTCCAAAAGCTATAACAAAACATCTTTTTATTTTCTTTAAAAAGGTTACATTAATCGTGTTTCTTATATATTTTTTAATTAAAGTGGAAATCACTTTACTAAATAATGTAAACTTGACTGACTGCTTCAATTCCACTTTTTGGTTGTGATGAGAACCTTAAAACTAGTCTTTTTGTTCTGTCTTAGCACTAGACTTAACAGTAATGTTGGCACGTCACAGCTTTCTGTTGTACAGATAATAGCAAGGCAGAGACGTTAGTAAGCTTTTCGAGGTCACCTTTAACAGCCCAAGATAAATGCGCCGACCTCCAGAGCACAATTCACTGCAATATGTCACGACTGGACTGTACACACCAGCGACTGGTGTAAACATTGACCCATTTTTTCCAGCCTCCCGTGGCTGTAGATTAAAGGTCTTGTTTTCCTTCCAGTGCAGTTTTGAGGTGCAGTCATAAGCTAAACACTGTATGACATTAATAATCAGAGTTTTTCTTGCTCTAATGAGGAGTATGAATCTCTGCCAGTGGGCTGTGCGTCTTTTCCACTAGAGCGAACCCTATTGCCCTCTACCAGACTCATTTAAATGAGTCTGTCCTTGCTCATAAGCGTGTTCATTATTCACCTGATTGGAGTCACGTTGTGTCATCATTCCCTCAAGAGCGGCTGTGTGTTGTGTCTGTCAATGAAACAGGCCCGTGGATTTCTCTCAGCCCGTGGCCTTTGAGAACGCAGAGATTGGGCAGTGTCCTGACCTGGCCCCGCCCCAGACCCCTGAGGAAGAGGAGGATGAGGAAGAGGAAGAGGCTCTGAGGCCTACAGAAGCAGCTCGGCCTCCACCACCAGCCTCCACTGTACGTCCTAACCAATGCATTGTGGGTAGAGAGTCCTGTGTGATTACTGTAGTTTAAGACTGACTGTGTGCGTCCCAGTTCCCATTCTTGCACTACTCAGTGAAAGTCTGTGCTCTGCTGGTGATGGGTAAGTCCATACTTTTGTGTATGTTGAAAATGTTGGGATTCTTAGAGTCGTTTCTCCTGTACCGTTCATGTTTGCATTTAAACAATAAGGGCCAGTTTTACTAACAGCTTGCGCCAGCGCAAACCGTCTTTTGGCGTTAAAATAGTACTGTCAGGTTTTACTAAAGACGCGCAGTGAAGAATTAGCGCTGAAAAGGCGTGGACACAGTTATTTTTGCGCCTGACCTTATTGAATATGCATTTCTAGGAGTTTCCCTTTCAGACGCAAAATTAATGGGAGGAGAGTATTCAAATTAATCACGCAACGCATTTTACTAATGTTTGCGCTCGTCAAATTACTGGCATTTGCGCCATTATTTAACACCCAAAAAAACTATTTTGCACTTGAAATGGCTGTAATTTGTTGCTAGAGGAGGCACAGCAGAGAACAGAGAGCGCGTGGTAGAAGGGAGAGGATTTATTTCCACACGTAATTTATTTGGAATGCAAGAAGAACACAAAATTATCGTTTGCCAAGCCATGTTATTTTTAATTTGCTTCAGGAAACAAAAGACGACTTGGAACCCTCAACTAGGAGTCATGCAATACCAGCTCTATCAAAACTTCTAGCATTTTTTGGCCTTCGGTTCTTTTCAACGTACTGTGGCTTCTTTATTTCTTTATTTGCAACTACGCTAATTTGCGCTGTGCTTGGTATATTGCGTTGGTCGATATGTAGATGAGATGTTGCGTCTGTGTTCTTTAATTTGCATATTGTTAGTCAATCTTGTTAGAAATTTCCCCTCCCATCGGCGCTGTTTTGGAATTGTGCTCTCGCGCTAATTTGCCCTGTTTAGTAAAACTGGCCCTAAGAGCTAAATTCATTATCTTTGACCATTTTAGGGTCAATGTTGCTGAGGCAGCTTTAAAGGGTTAGTTCTTAGACAAAAAATTGTCCTGGCTATTCCAAGCTCTATCATTGCAGTCAGCGGGTGTTGCAGTTGAACAGCCCACAAGTCGTCAAATAAAGCGCGCGCATCCATAATAAAACGTGCCGCAGACGGCTCCGGGGGGTGAATAAAGGCCTCCCGTAGCGAATCCATGCGTTTTTGTGAGAAAAATATCCATATTTCAAACGTAATAAACACTTTTCTCTCACTTCCGTTATCTGTCATACGCGGAAGTTTGACCTATAGCATGCAGACATTGTACGTAATCTTCCAGTTGTGGTGAGTGAGAACGAAGGCATGAACGGTCAAAGCAATGCAAATACACATTCATATAATTATGAGGACTGTAGAGAGAGCATCAATAAGAAAACAAAGCCAGAACTCAAACGTTTTAGGCCTTTTTGAGGTCTGAAAAATGTCCATGAAAAAGAGGATGTATGGTCGCCCTCCATTTATGGGTGCACAAGCTGTCTATCAATATTCAGAATTTCAGAACCGACTCTCTTTTAAATTCATGAATGTGGATCTGAATTGCTCAGATGTTGAACTGATATGACAGGAAGAGGAATTTCTGACAGTCACACATCTGTGGGATTTCATTAGTCAAAGATGGGGTTTGAGACAAAACTAAAATAATAACATAACAAATCGGGGGAAACCATGTTTCTTTCATGCTTTGATGCTGTACAAATCACTGGCTTCACCTGAGCTCTTCTGTCTTCATGATGTCTCTTTTTGCTGCTCTCAGGCCACGCCCCTCACTGAAGCCACGCCCATCCCAGACACGCCCACCAGTGTCCGAGAAGCTGCGGTATTAACCTGCTCACACACACACACAGAGACATCCAATTTAGTGTGAATATTGCAGTTCCTCCATTCGGACGCTCATTTATCCTTTGACTGACGGCCATCTGCTTTATGCTGCTTGAGCTGTTTCTACAGCTTTGTTTGTGGAGGAAGTTTTGATGCCTGAGTCACAGTATGTTTCATTGTTCTCACATGAGAACTGAATGCTGATGAAATGTGTGCAGTAATGTGCTGACTGCAGGAGCTCCATCAGCTGTTCTCTGGCTCCATCTACTGCCTGTACTTTATAAAACAGCACTCAACCCTTTCTGAAACTCATGCTTGCTGTGTATAGTCTCTTTAGAGATAACTCTTGCCATCTTGAGTTTAACGTTTTGGTGGGTCAGAATTTATATGAACACATTATACGAAGTATAGAAACACAAAGAAAGTTCTTCATTCATTCACTCTAACTAACGAATTAGCAAGTGTTCCTCAAATGTTGACAAGTACATTATAAACATCTATTTACAGTCCTTTGCTATTAATAATCCATTTTTAATGTTTTCGTGAACTGTAGATATATTTTAGATCCCTTAACCCTATTCCCAAACCTAAACATAAGCACTTTTAAAAACAAATATAATAAAATAATAATAGGCAGGAAATTGTTTTTTTTACAATATTCTGTTGCATAAATAATTTTGCTCTCCTTTCTCCAAACCATAGCTTCTCTCACCTTCTCTTAAGGCAGCTGCATTAAATGTGTTCAATAGAATCAGCTGATTCATTTCATGAATTCAATATTCATTGATTAAATATGGATTTGTAAGCATTGGCACATCCGTAGAGCTGCTGAGATCACATTTGTTGAACTACATCAATTTATATTTGAAATATGATCTAACTGTTTACATATTAGCTAATTAAACAATAATAATTTGTATATTATAGTCACAATTGATGAAGAACTCACTGTTTGTATACTAAAGGGAATTAATGTATTAACAGTGTAGAGACTACAGTTACTAAATTGTGAATTAACTAGTTAGCAAATAACTAGTACTGTGTGCTTTATTACTATATACTAAAAAGTCTTAGTGAATTCTGTAATATGCAGCGTTTGATTGACATCTGCTCTGTCCAATCACACAGGCGCCGTGCGCAGCGGAGGCGGAGCCTGTCGTGCTGGAACTGGCCAAACAGTTCGGTCTGTCCAGAAACAGTCACATGGTCTTTGAGTTTGACGACAGGAAGGTGAAGAACAGGTGGGTGTCAGTTATCATCATCTTCATCCTCCTCCTCCTCCTCCTCATGCGTGTGTGTCTGCTCCTCAGGCTGATCATGGAGTTCGAGATACGCACAGAAGCAGCCTCGGGGCTGGTTTTCTACATGGCCAGGATAAACCACGCTGACTTCACCACCATCCAGCTGAAGGAGGGAATGGCTCACCTGAGCTACGATCTGGGCAGCGGCAACACCTCTGTCAGCGTGCCGCGCATCATCAACGACGGACAGTGGCACAAGGTCAGAGCGTCTGGCCTTTGACCCCTTTCACTCACTCCCTGACCTGCTTCACAGCATGCAGAATTTTGAGATAAAGCTTTTGGCTCATCTGGACACAATACTGCGCTTTGATTGTGTGATGAGCTGGAAAATAGAGAAGATGCATGGGTCGTAATTAGGCAAATATGTTTGAACAGCACATTACAAGCATGCTGTCATTGAACTAGTTTTTTTTTTTTAACTGATTTATTTATTTTGACAGAAATTATTACTTTTGTTCATCAAGGACGCATTAAATTGATCAAAAGTGACAGTAAAGACATTTGTAATGTTACAAAAGATTTCTATTTTAAAGGGGTCATAGGATGCTACATGCACTTTTACAAGTTGTTTGAACTGAAATGTGTGTTGGCAGTGTGTGTACACAACCACCCTATAATGATAAAGATCCACCCATCATATCAACTTGTGGAAAATGGGCATCCTATGACCCCTTTTAGTAAATTCATCTGTGAATCCTGAAAAATAAAATGCATCACGGTTTCCACAAAAACATTGTGTAGCACAACTGTATTCAACACTGATAATGATCAGAAATGTTTCTTGAGCAGCAGATCAGCATATTAGAATGATTTCTGAAGATCATGTGACACTGAAGACTGGAGTAATGATGCTGAAAATACAGCTGCGCATCACAGAAATAGATTTCACTTTAACAGATATTCACACAGAAAACAGCTGTTTTAAACTGTAATAATTATAATGCACTGTATTTAACAGTATTTTTTGATCAAATAAATGCAGCCTTGGTAAGCAGAAGAGACTTTTTTCAGAAACATTAAAAAAAAGTCTTACAGACCTCAAACTTTTGAACTTTGTTTGTGAGAAGGTCAGAGTACTACAGTTTTTTTTTTTTCCAACTGCTTCCACACAAACTCTTCACTTGTCACAGTTTCTGCAACAAACACCAGAACCACGCAGCAAATCTGCAAAACCATACGCTAATTCTCAGCCTTTGACTCGGTTTTCAATTTCATAAAACTCTTTTTGCAAAACACAACACACAATTCTCTGTGTAACACACACACAAATCTAACAGGAAGTATTGTGATTTCCTTTTTCAAACACAACCAATCAAAAAGCCACACTAACTCATCACTAACTCCTCACGTGTGCTTCACTGAACACCAACCGATCAATAAACACACATCTACACAGCTACACATGCTTGATGTGTTTCTTTTCTTTCGTACTGTGTAATACTGTATTCACAACCACAAATGCTTACGGTTGCTTTCAATCTTGCTTTCGTGTTTACCGTGAGTTTTTCCACATCTCTCTGCCAATTACTTTCAGTCTTGAACAGAAATGTAGACAGGAGCTCATGAAAGAAGAGCTTTAGGTTTTACATAACTGTGTGTATCCAAAAATATAATACTATGGCAAAGGTGTTTTCAACGCAAGACAAATGTTTGCTTTTGAGATGTGTTCGTGATCTTTTGAATGCAGCACTTCATTTTGCAAGAGATGTGAGGCATTTTGCATTTTGTGTGTGCGATTCTTGGGTTCGTGTGTAGAGTTTTGAAAATGTGTGTAAGCAGTTTAAAAAAAACCTGTAAAAGCAAGCAAGCGTTGATTTGTTCTCTTTCTGTTTGCAGATCCGTGTGACGAGAGAGAAGCAGAGAGGTTTTCTCGTGATTGACGGCCGTTACTCCAAACACACCACCAGCCCAAAGAACGCTGATATTCTGGATGTGGTGGGAATGTTGTACGTGGGAGGTTTACCGCTGAACTACACCAGCAAACGCATTGGACCGGTGAGAGCACAAGCACACACACACACACATTCAGAAGAGTCAAGTGCTCTTTGAGGCCACCTTCGCCTTCACCTTCACCGTCTGATGACCCACGACTGCACACCGTCACACAACTCCAACCTCCTTATTACGTTTGCAATAAAGCAGACTTGACTTGACTTGATGCTGCCTGTGCTTTTGCAGGTGCTGTACAGTATCAACGCTTGCATTAGAAACTTCAAGATGATGCATCTGCCGCTGGACATGGAGAAACCCACGTCTAGCTACCGCGTGGGCTCCTGCTTCGCCAACCCAGAAAAAGGAACTTATTTTGATGGCACCGGCTATGCTAAAGCTGGTGAGGATCCATTGTAGTCATTTACAGCTAGCATTACAGATTTTTTTAACTGCTTACACAAAATCTTCACTTGTCACACAATTTCTGAAAGCTGACACTCACCAAATCTGCAAAACCATACACTAATTCTCAGCTGAATCCTTAAGCATCGTCAAGAATCGGCTAAAAACACATCTCTTCCATCTTTATTTGACCCTCTAAATCTAGCAATCTCTATTCTAACCTTTTCTTTTTATTTATTATACAATTAACACAAGCAAAAAAGGCCTCTAAAACTAGCTTCTCTATTCTATCTGTTTTCTTTTAATTTAAAAAACAAAACCTTGCTACGTGTACTGCATTAAGCTAACTGAGACTTGTTATAGCACTTGTATATCACTGCTCTTTTGTTGGTTTGATTGCTTCCATTGTCCTCATTTGTAAGTCACTTTGGATAAAAGCGTCTGCTAAATGACTAAATGTAAATTCTCTGCCTTTTGATTGAATTTTCAATTTCATAAAACACTTTTTGCAAAACACAACACACAGTTCTCTATGTAACACAAAACTCTTACAGGAACTAATATTAAGGCAAAGGTGTTTGCAAATGTTTGCTTTTGAGATGTGTTTGTGATATTTTGAATGCAGTGCTTCATTTTGCAAGAGATGCGAGGCATTTTGCATTTTGTGTGTGCGATTCTTGGATTTGTGTGTAAAGCTTTGAAAAAAAAAGGCAAAGTTTTGAAAATGTGTGTAAGCATCTGAAAAAAAAACTGTAATATTTAAACATACATAGAAGTGTAATGTGTGTGTGTGTGTGTGTGTACAGTGGACACGTATCGAGTGGGTAACGATGTGTCCGTGGGTCTGGAGTTCAGGACGGCACAGAGCAGCGGCGTTCTGTTCGGCATCAGTAGCCAGAAGATGGATGGACTGGGAATCGAACTTGTCACTGGAAAGGTACGAAAGAGGGGTCTGAATTTTATCATTTTCAGTTCCATTGAAGAGCTCAAGTAAATTGGGGGGGATAATATGGTTGTAATGTTGTTTTGTCTTTATATGTGACCCTGGAGCACAAAAGCAGTCTTGAGTCACTGGGGTATATTTGTAGCAATAGCCAACAATACATTGCATGGGTCAAAATTATAGATTTTTCTTTTATGCCAAAAATCATTAGGATATTAAGTAAAGATAATGTTCCATGAAGATATTTTGTAAATTTCCTACTGTAAATATATCAAAACTTAATTGTTGATTAGTAATATGCATTGCTAAGAACTTCATTTGGACAACTTTAAACTTGTCTCAATATGATTTTCTCAATATTTTGATTTTTTTGCACCCTCAGATGCCAGATTTTCAAATAGTTGTATCTCAGTCAAATATTGTCCTATCCTAACAAACCATACATCAATGGAAAGCTAATTTATCCGCTGTCAGATGATGCATAAATCTCAATTTGGAGAAATTGACCCTTATGACTGGTTTTGTGCTTCAGGGTCACATATGAGTTTGTCAGTAAGAGTGTCTGTGTTTGTTGCTGTAGCTTTTATTCCATGCTGATAATGGAGTGGGGCGCTTCACAGCCGTATATGAGCCGGATCCGGAGGCGGGGCTTTGTGATGGACAGTGGCACACCGTCTCCGCCCACAAGCTGAAGCACCACCTGGAGCTCGTCGTGGATGGCAAGAAGTCCGAGGCAGCGAGTCCAGACGCCCGCTCTGCCTCTGCTGATACCAATGACCCGGTGTATGTGGGCGGATACCCCGGTGCGTCAATCAAAATCTGTTGCCATGGTGTCAGTGTTAAGAATGTTCAAACATTCCTTCATGACTCGCCGTGGGAGTTATTAACAAGCTAACAGGCAATAGTCATTTAAAGGACCCATATTGTCAAAACTGAAATTTCCTGGCTTTTTTCACTGTAAGGGAAACAGGTCAATAGGGACTGATTATTGCAAATGCAGATCCCACTGTGTTCTGGTTAAATAATTTTTATTTATTTGATTTATTTATTGCTAAGGTTTGCATTTGGTGGTGTGTTCATGACAGCTTTCCTAAAAACATATCCTATTCCTAAAATAAGAAGTATCCCAATATATCGCCTTGCTTACAGTATCGCAATGTATCGCAACCCCTTCATCGTGATACGTATCATATCGCCAGATTCTTGCCAATACACATTCCTAATTAATTAATGACTTGTTAATGTATCATTATGTCATGACTTTACTTGGGGGGGCACATTATTACTAACTCATCATTAATTACTTAAGTAACATGAATTCATGACTTGTTAATGTATCATTATGTCATGACTTGTCTTGGAGGGGCACATCTTTAAAAGGTTATCAATTACACATGTTCTATACATATTCAGCTCATCTAAATCAGATATTTGGTGCTTTTCGGTGGTTTGTAAAGAAGTGGAAGAGCAGAGGTCCTGTGGCTGCATTCGGATGGAGAAGGAACTGAACAGTAGGAGGAAAGTTGACATTTTATAGGGGCAATAGTGACCCAAAAGAAGAGCAAAAACACAAGACAAACGTCTGACTGCAGTGCATTATTATGATATAAATATAGTAAACCAATCCATAACATAACCAAAGCGATAACCATCATCTCTATGCTAACACTGATTTTAATTTGGAAAATTGCACCTGCTTAATGAATACGTTATTGTAGGACGGCAGCAGTGGAATCACTCAAAACAGAATGAGATGAAATTGTTTTTAATTATGAATGCTTCGTGTGTTGGATGAGTTAGGTTAAATGTAAATATTACAAGAATAGTCGTTGACTGATGTTTGTGACAGCTGCAGGTGGCAAATTTATAAACAATTTTACATTGTGCCATTTTCATACATCTTGCTTCTAGAGCATGTTTGATTTAGTTTACCCCAAAGTGTTAATTAATACATTAACTAACATGCAGGAACTAACATGTAATTAAGGTAGTGTTATTCATGCAGTAGTTCATATGACTCATGTCGTAGTTAAGTTAGTTCTTCATTAGTTCTTGATTAATACATATCTTAACTCATCATTAGTTCATAGTCAAGTAATTATTAATTCAGGTATTAGTACATGATAATTCATGTACTGTTATTGTAAAGTGTTACCATGATTTCTATAACTAGAATATGATACATTTGACAAAGAATTGATTGGAAGAAACAAATAAAACTCCAGAAAGGTGTAAAATATGGGACCTTTAAAATAGAAAGAAATAAAAATTATTTTATTAAAAATCTAATTTATTAAAAAAAAAATTCAAATGATGACACATAATGACATAAAGCTTCTGTCAGATCATGATAAATCATAACGTTTTTAATTTTTATGACATTTCTGGTCTTCAACCCATCATTCTGCATCATCTCATCATAAGCAAAAATAAACATCTGTTGAAAAGCTCAGTGGGATGCTCATAACAAAATATGATGCATTGAAAATATGAATATGATGAAAATATTTTTTAAGCTTTTGAGAAAAAGCAGAATTATTTTGATTTGAACTCTTTGTTAAATGCATTACAGAGGAGAAGTTGGTTAGTCTGAGTTGGGGACAATCCTAAAATACAGAGGTTCTGGAAAATGTAACATTTCAACACACTTGAAATTAGGAACAGACAATTATCGGTTTCAGTTTTTATTAACGTGTATACATTGACCTGGAATGGTTGTTTACTTTTCTTTCAGCTCATCTTAGCAGACAGAAACATTCATAGTTTGATCAGTTTGAATGTTTTCTGAAGGCGTCAGATAAATGACTGAAATCTTGTTTGTGTGTTTGTTGCAGAGGGTCTGAAGCAGTTTGGACTCACTATAAACACACCGTTTAAAGGCTGCATGAGAAATGTGAAGATCACTAAATCTGGGAAGACTCTGGAGGTCCAGATGAACAAAGTCCTGGAGCTCAAAGGAGTTCAACCTCTCACCTGCCCTGCTGGTTAAACACACACACACTCACACTCACACTCACACAGGTTTGTTTTTGTGAAAAGTGGGGACATCCCATAGGCGTAATGGTTTTTCTACTGTACAGTCTGCATTTTTAGATTTTCAAAAAAACTCATTCTGAATTATTTATAAGCCTTTTGAATTACAGGAACACTGAAAATGTCCTCATAAATCACCTTCTCGTTGTAATACCTGTGTCATACCCATGTCATTATACAAATTTGTGTCCTTATGTCACAAAAACACCACACACACTCACACTCGCGCACACACACACGCACACACGCACTCACACTCACACACACACACACGCACGCTCACACACACACACGCTCACGCACACACGCTCACACACACACACACACACACACACACACACACACACCTGATTCATTGAACTGCTACTCAGAGTGAATCAGCTCATAACCAAATAACACAAGGAATATTAATAAACAAACAGCTAGACAAACCAAAGTTTAGACAAACCAAGCCAAATGAAAAACAGATCAAAAACTGCTTTAAAATTAAATTACTACAGCCATAGGATACAATTTTTATAATAACTTTTGGTAACACTTTACAATAAGGACCTGTTAGTTAACATTAGTTTAGGCATTAACTAACATGAATGAACAATGAGAAATCCGTTACAATATGTAATTATCTGTGTTGTTAGTCAATAAAAATACAACTGTTCAGTGTTAGTTCATGTTTGGTATGGTCCATTAAAAAGAACAGAAACAACTTTTTATTTTAATAATGTATTATTAAATATTGAAATTAATAATAACTAGAATTAATAAATACTTTAGAGTATGTTTCAATGTTAGTTCATGCTAACTAATGTAGTTAACCCATGTAAACAGATGAAACTTTATTGTAAGGTGTTACCAACATTTTATGCTGTAGTTCCTTATCAATCTGTCTATGTATTTTTGTGTTAAAGGACCTAAAACCAAAAAAAAAACTGATCTGAACAAACAGTAGTAATATAACTACATCTTACACAGCCAAAAGCATCCTAACAAAACCACTGAAGAGTGAATAACCCGAGGAATCAGGGTTCTGTCGTTCAGAAAGACACATTTATACACCAGTAAGACATGTATTTCTGCTGAGGCATTTCAAATGTTGGCCATATCAAACAGGTCTAAACAGGCAACACTCCTAGACCCTAGTATATTCATCATAACATCATCAACAGACTTCATAATCATTTAACACGTTATCATGCTTAATTACATGGAGAGAATTGGACTTACGTTGTTTGACTACATTTGACACCTGATACAGTACATCAAGAAATATTGGGGGGAAAAAACATACTTTAATAAACTCTAATACTCTAATAAACTGTAATAAGAAAGGCAACAATGACATAAAAATTAAGGAATACAACCGGTTCACAATGAATTGCCAAAAAACAGCACAGACACGCTGTAGTAAATTAAAAGTCCGATGTAGGAAAGTTTAACAGATCAAACTGTCAGATTTCAGTGTGAATCTGGTGTAAATGTAGCCTAAATTATCAAACTACACTTCAGGTCAGCTGAGTATATGAGAAACATATTTTGTCTGAGAGCCAAAGAAATCATAAGACAGACATGAACTACAAATTCATGGAAAGAGGCCTTGTGTCGAGGGCTGAGACAATTTTCTCTGAGTTCTCAGTGTGTGTGTGATTACATGTACTGTGTAATGATCAGTATTTCAAAATAAAGAAATATCCCCTCTGATGGCACTTGATGTGATCTGCTGTTTCCTTTCAGTGTCAAAATAACCATCAAAGTTACTGAAATAGTTCTCCTCCATAGGGTCATTAATATTTACACTTTTCCATTTTAGCTAGTGTATCATGGTTTATTAAAATATTTTAAAAATCATGAAAAATGTGCTGGTTTGTATGATAGGTTAGGCTGAGTGCAGCATTTGATACAATAGATCACTGTCAAATACTACTACTTAGTGTTTTATACAGTTTAAGGTCTTTCTGAAAGGCTGTTTCTGGAAACATGATTTATCACATGGTGTTCCACAAGGTTCGGTTCTCAGGCCGCTTTTATTCTCACGCATCAAAAAATGAATGATAATTTTCGTAAACACCACACAGGCTGATGGGCCTAAAGATATAGATTAAACTTCTGTCTATGATTTTACTCTGGAAAATTAAGGAATTAAGATGAATAGAATTTTCTGTCTTCCTATAAATCTTCACACTTTACACTTATAGAAAATTGAGAGATTTGTACATCACGTACTACACATCATTTACTACTACATCATTTGTACTACACAAATGACAAAAAAACTGCTTTTATTCATAAAAATCAGTTAACTGAGGGTGGATTCTTGTCCAAAAAACTGAAAGCAGAACTATAAAAGCTATAAGAGCGCACTGTTTTCTTTGCTCAACACACAGAGTCTGGGATTACAACAGTGGAAAAAATAAGGAAGTACACTTTCAACAGGGTACAAATGTTGATGACTTTTTAACTCATAGAAGAGGACAGCAGAAGAGAACAAGTCATGCTCATCAGAAGTATGCTGCATATAGTCATCCGTGATGGGATGATCCTGCTGAGAAACCAGCAGAAATGCTCTACAGTGTGGAGAGCCACTCACCACTGCTCGGCTTTAGTTTACAGAGAACACACAAATAACATTGATACTGTGAGGTATGGACATAGAGTGCTTTTATACTTATATTTGTTAATACAAGTGGATTACGTTATAATAAGTAGTCTTCATTATAATGTAAATGTGACTAATTTGTGATCAAATTAAATATGATTTGTGTTCTTCCTCTTATATATATATATATATATATATACACTGTATATATTGTAGCAATGACTCCAAGTCATGCTCTTTGTTAAGCACTAGATTAACTGCAGGACACTTACGAAATGATGCTCATTGACTCTTCATTTGTCTTCAGGATGGAGCAGCTGCTGCTGCCTCCAGTGGGTGATCGTTCTGTGAGGGTCCACATGCTTGCAGCACCTGTCAATCCTGCAGACATGAATATGATCCAGGGTAAAGTCACCACTCGTACAGCTTCATGCCCGTTTACATCCTTTCAGTCTAGGGATGGTTAAATCTGATGTTATTTTATAGAAACTTCTATTCTAGTCTATGAAGTGATGGAGGCTGAACATGGAGAACTGACTGTAGCAAATCATTGGTCTTGTCTCCATAAGTTCGTATCCGATCTTGTGCTCCCTCCCAGCGGTAGGAGGGAATGAGGGGGTGGGAGAAGTGATAGAGGTGGGCAGTGATGTCATATCTCTCAGACCAGGTGATTGGGTCGTGCCCATTGATGCTGGCTTTGGTAAGGAGATATTCAATGTTTCAGGGTTAAAAAAAACATCAAAACCTCAAAGTCAACATGGAATTCCATTCCAAAATGGGTGTATTGCAATGAAATCCAAAAATATATAAGGTGGTGGGTCTTGATTGTAAGGACTGAAATTTGATGACAGGTGGTTGATAAGCAAAAATTCTTGGTGGCATAAGTCCCAAAGGAAAGTCCTTTCAGAGGAGCAACAAGATATTAATTTCTTATAAAAGATGACAACACTGAATAAAGATTCAGACTAAAGTGCAATTAATTAAAAAGACCAACAGGACATTTCATCCTATAGCCTGGAGCACTGGAGAAACATCTTTGGTTATGAATTTATCCTCAGTTCACCAAGATATACTAGGGAATGAGACACAGCATCAGAAGCTGGCACTATGGGGGGAAACTTTCTCTTGATCAATTACCCTTTTGAATCACACCTATGCAGGCGTTCACACCTGACATTTTTGTATAAATATAAGTGACTGCTGAATGCCATTACCTTCATTACCAAGCACGTGGGCAGTCGTGGCCTAATTGTTAGAGAGTCGGGCTTATAACCCGAAGGTTGCGGCAGGGATTGTTGGTGGGGGAATTGAATAACCAGCACTCTCTTCCACCCTCAATACCACGACTGAGGTGAGACCCTTGAGCAAGGCACCGAACCCCCAACTGTTCCCCGGGCGCCGCAGCAATATGGCTGCCCAATGCTCCGGGTGTGTGTTCATGGTGTGTGAGTGTGTTCACTACTGTGTGTGTGCACTTGGATGGGTTTAATGCGGAGCACAAATTCCAAGTATGGGTCACCATACTTGGCCTCACTTCACTTCAAATCTTTTTGTGTGACTGAGAGCAACAGGCTCGTTCTGAAGTTCAAACACAGTAATGTGGCAAGCTATGCAATGTCTCATTCCCTGTATCTCAGGGAAATTAGGTTACATACGTTACCAGAGATGTTCATGTTTCAGTTACGGTTCACTCAACATTGTGTACATAGCTGGCATTATGGGAAACAGAGTAAAATCATACCACATTACTGACACTGAACTTGAACCAGCCCCTGTGGGTGAGGTATGGAATATAACACTAAGCAGCAGGATGTTCACGATGGCATTGCCAGTGTACACCAACACATACATGATATACAGTAATATGGTAGTATACCATGGTATGAACTGGGGAGGGAGGCTGCACAAGCACTTCACGACAGGGGTTGGGAAGATGACACTGCAATGGCCAGTGCTGACACAGGCTTAACTCTCTTGCACAGAAGGCACTTTGGAAACCTGAGAGGAAACATTGAAGTTATGTTAAGTCATTTGGTGAGAACCAGCCAGGCATATGTCCTTAATAAACGGACACACCATTTGACCATGCCCAGGAGGACGCCATGCCTCCCAAGATATGGGCTTTACCCCGACTGGGCATTGCTGACCTTGTGAGCTACAAGTCAGGGAAATTGCATCTATAATTCCCCTAGTGTGGCCCTGTAAACAGACAAAGATCTGCTCCAAGAGTCTGAACTGGTGGGACTGTCCACAACAATACACAATGCTTGCACCGGACACAGCATGTTAAGAAACTGCTCCTACTCTGAGCCTAAATGTTGTGGGGAGGCCTCACAAAGACTAACCTAACCCTAAGGTCTCTGTGGAGCCAAACAGGTCCATGTTCACTTTGGCGAAAAATATTCCATATCCTCAACACTGTCTGAGGATCCAGTCTCCATTCTCCTGGTATCAGGCCATGGCGTGCTAGGAGGTCTGAGCTGCAATTCAACCATCTTACAAGGTGAGGAGGTGTTGATGGGTCCAAAAGAGCATGCACTGCACTACTTCCATCATGAAAAGAATGCAGGCACGGTTGTATAAGGCCCTGCTACCCCATACTCTCGTAAGCCTTCTTACAGTCCACAAAACACATGTAGACTGGATAAGTGGACACCCATTCCCCCTCAAGGATTCTTGCTATAGGGGAAAAAGTTGGGTCAGTTTTTAGTCTACAGTCGGCATTGTTCCTGCGACGACTGGACGTATTCTGCTTTCCAGCACTCTAGGCTTGAACACATCCTCTTGGTCCCCTTTTTCAAAAATGGGAACCACCGCACTCATATGCCAATTGCCAGACACTTTCCCTGATTCCTGTATGTTGAGCAGGGGTGTCAACCAAGGCAGCCCAACTACATTCAGCATCTCAGGGCAAGTTCTCCAACCCTGCCTCTTCTTATGAGGGCATGTTCTCCAGGTTCAGAAGAACCTCAAAGTTTTCCTTTCAACTCCAAAGTCAGGGCAGTGCCATTTTCATTTTTGACAGGAATGAAAACGAGGCTGTGAAGAACTGAAATACAGTATGCCCAATGGATTGTACTGTTGTTTAACATTACACCAATAGTTCAGCTTACGAAATGTCTTTCAGAAAAGCAAAAATCAGTAGACTCCATAAAAACTCCATAAAACCGTTATAAGTTGTGAAAATTACATGATCTAGGATCTTTTTACATTGCATGCCATTGTTAAGACTGTAAGTCTATTCCTCACAGCCTCGTTATAACTACGTTAAATTCAATATGGCGTCTAACCTGTCACGGGTTAACCAGTCTTGAAAGGCCTTTCGGGAACACTGTAAATTGGTAAAGACCAAAAACTGTAATGATTCTCCTTCTCTACACTGCACAGTATTACCGACAATCAGATCAGTGAATACAATCCAGTGGACGGAGATGAGGAATTACACATTTATTTACAAAAACATTTAGTGGTTATTTTCAGAAGCAACAAAACTTGCAGCAACAGTCATTTTCGCCATATTCACAGTTTCCAGCACAATCAAAGCATTACATCAGCAAAAAGAAATAGCAGTAAAAAATAAAAATCACAGCTCAAAACTACTCATTGAAATGACATCTGCAACATTGTAAATAACAGACAAGGTCAGTTTAAGTGCCAAGTGTTTCCCTCCATTGAAGTACTTTATGAGGTCTGTGTTTAGCTGAGAAACTTGATTCCTGTTGTTTTCAGTCATGAATCCTTTACGGACATACAATATCATCTGACTTACATTATTTTCTCCAACATGAAAAAAAAAGTACATCCAAGATCCCTGGGAGCGACTGAATAAGTAATAGAGTGCAGTGAACTTTTATTGGCAGTGTGAGCTACTGTAAGACTGAAGTCATGTGACTGATTTAAAGCAGAGATTGAACAATACTAAGAGATCACTCACATGTAATCAAATGTTTAAGGAAGAAACGTGTGAAATGTAGGTGTACCTCAGTACTTCACTTGTCTGAGACAATATTTTCATGCAATACACAATCTATATATGAATGAGATTTGTGGCTGGGTGCGTCTCACTAAACCTATAAAGCACATGTCTGGGTCATATTTTACCCTAAAGAAAAATTTATTTAGTTAATTAAGTGTTTATATATACATTTTCTAGAAAACCTGGTAAATTAGTCTCTGATTTTTGTACTAACAAACAACCTATTCTTCACAAGTGATTAAAATGTGCCAAAGTGCCAAACCAGACTAAATGAGCACAGACACTATGAGCTTTTTTGGCTTTTACTATAAAGGATGTGCATACAACTGCTACCCAAGCATCTCCTGAAAACCATATCTGTGTAGGTTATAGTGTTGGAGGTGTGCGCTTCGGCAGAGGACGAGATGAATGTGAAATATATTATATACTGAACTCTGCTGCTTTCCCTTTAATGGTCTGTTTGCGGTGGACTGTAAGGTGCATGGCGGGATGGGGTGATTGGCATGGCTCGGTCAGTGCTGGACGGATTTTATGACCCACTCTGCACTGGGGTTGAGCTCCAGAAGAGCTTTGATGTACGTCTCTTCATCCAGACATCTCTCCTCTAGACAAACACACCAACACACACACATCAGACAACAGCACATACTGCGTGTGCTGAACATCACGTGGCATTTTCTAGCACTGTTTATGGCACAAAAATGCCTATAAAATCAAACTGAAATGTATTAATATTACCATGAGCTGCATAGATCACAAATATTCCAAATAAAGTCTATGCGCAAAATACTGTTTGTGTGGCTTTGACATCAACAACAAAAGATCTGGGAAATGTTTCTCCTTCCTTACATGTCAGTAAATCTAATTGCCCCTGGGAGACAAATAAAGTTGAAGATCTATTTATTTTCCTATCCTAACTGTACATGGTTTGTATGGTTAGTTACGTGTTATGAAATGCCTTGAGTATTGTGTGGCTGTGTGATTGTAATTAATGTGACGCTTATAAGCCACTCACTGATGTTTCCTCCCATCTCATAGAGACACAGATCCTCTCGTTTCACAGACAGAGTCCTGTAACAACACAACACACCACACAACTCAATCTCACTGAGCACAACATTTCACAAGCACCGCTAGAAAATATAATAGTTTTCCTAAAACAATAGACTACAATTGTGGATATACAGTATATACATTAGAGCCCGAGAGTCACTAGTGTTCTCACTGAAGATGTGCTTATTAAAGCTGATTGATCATTAGTGCATGCGTGTGTTTGCTCACCTCTCTTGACTGAGGAAGCGTGTCAGAACATCTGAGGCCTTTAAATCCTCCGTCAGCTGTACAGCCATGGACACCATCGAGAACTGAGGAGCCTGGACCCTTATGAAGCCTCCTTCAGCCTGAACACACGCACCAAACACACCATAAACACACACCGAACACACCATAAACACACGCACACACACCAAACGCACCATAAACACACACCATAAACACACACACACACCAAACACACCATAAACACACGCACACACACCAAACACACCATAAACACACACCGAACACACCATAAACACACGCACACACACCAAACGCACCATAAACACACACCATAAACACACACACACACCAAACACACCATAAACACACGCACACACACCAAACACACCATAAACACACACCGAACACACCATAAACACGCACACACACCATAAACACACGCACACACCATAAACACACACCGAACACACCATAAACACGCACCGAACACACCATAAACACACGCACACACACCAAACACACCATAAACACGCACCAAACACACCATAAACACAGACCGAACACACCATAAACACGCACTGAACACACCATAAACACGCACCGAACACACCATAAACACAGACCGAACACACCATAAACGCACCAAACACACCACAAACACAGACCAAACACACCATAAACACGCACCGAACACACCATAAACACAGACCGAACACACCATAAACACACGCACCAAACACACGATAAACACACACACACCAATATTGATACTTGTGAAGATCATTCAACCGCTGAGGAACAGTGAAAGTAAAGCTTCTGGAAACAAACGCTCCTCAAAAGATCCTGAGGATCAGATTTGAGACTCTAAAACATGATTGATGGAGAATCAAGTAAAGCTGAGCTGCTTCAGTCCAGTAAGAGTTCATCTGGAGATATTACTGCAGTTATTCTGACCTTTACTTGAGAAAAATCAGTCAAGATTTGACAGCAGAAAGACACGAGAAGCAGCAGCTGAAGCTGGACGTTTCTACAATTTACTAAAATGCCTTCTAACTTAATAAAATCAATCAGACGACAGAAGGCATGGAGTAGATTGTGTGAAACATGCTGATCATTTAGAGGCCTTATTTAAAATAACAATCAAATTTGAAGCAGTAGTTTTATAGGGTTAACATATCAAATCAAGTGTCTGTATCTGCAGGATCTTTTCTGTGTATAACAGTAACACCCTTTGAGAGCCTTGTATCTTATATTTCAGCATGTCCATACATTTCTGTCACACTCACAGCAGATGAAGGACAGTCACTGCATGCAGTTGCTCAGTGTGTCCTCTAGGTGTCAGAGCGGAGGCTGCTCACATTCTCAAACTCTGATTCATTCAGAAACACTGACACACAACTGTGAAGGTGTCTAAGATGTCTGATTATATCTCCTTCGGTTCAGAGTACTGCTCTGTGTTTGTGTAGCTCCTCTCACCTCAGCGTTGCTCTCTTGTTTGTTAGAGGCTCTCTCGCGGTCGTACGCCATCTTCTTCAGTAGTTTTTTAACCGCTCTGTCTCTGTTCATCTTCCGCTGGTTCTCCATGTTTTGTTTGCGCACCTGATTCAGGATGAACTTGGGAATCTGAGACACAAGAAAAGACTCATCTGAGCATCTCCATCTTCCAGCTTCACGTACGATGTGTTCTGGTATTCGAGCAACAGAACATTTTGTTGGGTCACTATTTCTACAGCATCACAGTAGAAGAGTAGTGATTTCACAGAAAATGAATTGAAGTATTAAAGAAATTAATGATTTTATTAATCAAGGACACACTGAATTTATCAAAAGTGACAGTGAAGACATTTACAAAAGATTTCTATTTCAAATAAAAGCTGTTCTTTTAAACTTTCTATACATCTGCGAATCCTGAAAAATAACATGCATCACGGTTTCCACAAAAATATTGTGCAGCACAACTGTTTTCAACATTGATAATAATCAGAAATGTTTCTTGAGCAGCAAATCAGCATATTAGAATGATTTCTGAAGATCATGTGACACTGAAGACTGGAGTAATGATGAAAATTTAGCTTTGATCACAGAAATAAATTATATTTTAACAGATATTCACATAGAAAACAGCTGTTTTAAATTAAAATACTTCACAATATTTATTGTATTTTTGATCAAATAAATGCAGCCAATTCCAAACATTTAAACTGCAGAGTATTGCAACTATTTGTTTATCTGTAGTGAATCTTCAGATATGAGATTCGGTTATAATTAGGGATGTAACGATGCACTGCGAGCCGGTTGAAAATCAATTCAAATCGGTTGTGATGTTAAATGAATCGTGATACAATTGAGGGGGGAGTTTATATGAATGTATCTCTGAGGGGAACTCACTGTCTTCAGGAAAGTTCAGATGGTATTTTCTTTTCATCTCGCCTCTGTATAATGCATATTAAAGTAGTGTTCATAACTGCAGCGCTACTGTAACAGTAGCATCCAAGGAAACGCTGTATCGCTAATGTTCAGGGTTGCCAGGTGTTCGCAACAAAACCCACCCAATTGCTGCTTAAAGGGGTCATATGATGTTGCTAAAAAGAACATTATTTTGTGTATTTGGTGTAATGAAATGTGTTTATGCGGTTTAAGGTTCAAAAAACACATTTTTTCCACATACTGTACATTATTGTTCCTCCTCTATGCCCCGTCTTTCTGAAACGTGTCGATTTTTACAAAGCTCATCGGTCTGAAAAGCGAGGTGTGCTCTG